CTGCTGGAGATCACTTCTCCCTCTGATGGGCTTCGGTTAAATGAATGAACTTGTAATCACAACAGTCACCCCGCTAAATGTCACATGTTGACCGTTATCGATCACCCAGGAATTATTTAACACCCAACGGCTTCATCACAAATAATCTAATCAATGTACGCTTTCTTTTGGTTGTTCTCTCATAAAATATGTGTGAATAAATCTCACATAATAAAATGTGCAAATATTAACAGTTTTAGAATACTGATATTCAATTTTTAAAATGTCCAGTGTATGTTTTTTGTTTGAGGTCCTTGAGAGCTTGACCCTCTTGCAGCTCAAAAAACATGCATGGTAAAATTGTATTTGCCTGTTAACCAACTTTTGGGTCACAGAAACCCAGCTCTATGTATGTCGAAATACTTTGAATTTCATCTGCTCTAAATCGAGATTGGTGTTGACAGTTCTTTTCATGGATCTTCCAAACCCCCAACAAGTGTCTGGGGTCTAATACATTTACAATACATACAATATGACCAATATTAGAATAACATATGACACACAACATTTGTCTCTTTTTGAGTGTTGCATAGCCTTTGTATATTTGTTAAATCATAAAATATGGAACAAAAAATATGAAAAAAAAAAAATACATTTGGAAATGACTTTTTTACACATACAGCAGGTGGACATAGAAATCCAGATAGACATTTTGTTATTTTGAATACATTTTGAATCCTTATTGAACCTCAAATGTTAAAACTAAACTTTTGAAAGAATAATATTACGATGTCAAAGTGTCATATTAGTGTTCGACAGTGGTTGTTACAAACCTATGCTGTGAAGCCAAACATTAAGTTTCATACAAAATATTTCAGTCTGCATCTTTGGTTAGCATGTAGAAATGATGCACAAGACATCAAATATTTCCACCTAAAATTCATGGAGTCTTGAGTTTGAAAATGTTCTTCAATGTAAACATCATATAGCGTCAGTGAAGGGCATGCTGAGACAGATTATATGACACTGTCAGACAGTGATAAATGTGCAACTGTAAAGCTACTTAACCAGACATTAAACTAATATTTTGATATTGTAAATATCCAGTACTTCATTCATCTAGATAGACATCTAGATATGTTATAAGGTTGACATCTCTCCTCTTATGACTGCAGGAATAATCCTTCCTGAGCCTAAATTGAAGATTAGTGCTTTATTAATACAGTGTCATTTTTCTATCAGCATTTTGCTATCAACCATGATTAGCATGCACAGGAGACTACTGATCTGCATTGTGAACAAGCAGGGGATGTTTTAAATACAAACAAATTAAAACCACTCCTACTCTTTCCCTGCAGCGAAAACTATGCTGCATGAGGGAGAATTTTACAGTGTGCTGCAATGATGAACATTTCCTCCTGTTTCATGTTTAACCCCGCTCATTTCCCACAGTAAGAACTCCGGAAACACACAAGTGTGCGCAGCAGCTTGGAGGGAGGATGACTGATGGCTTGTTGTCATGATGTTTGGGATTCAGCCGACTCGAAGCCTCTTGGCTCACTGAAGCTGTGAAGCACTGCAGTGCATACTACAGGCTATTGTTTGAAAAGTCCCGGTATTAGCAAGGTATTGCTTCATTGTCACACTGTTGAGCCTGTGCAGAATGCAGTTATCTGTCCCTAGCCATTTACACTGTAGTTGCATTGGATTTATGATTACACTTCCTGAACCGGGACATATTTCCAACCATTCAACAACGTAGCAAGGACACTTATTAGAATTTTACAACGTGACTGGATGGATTTTTTTGTTTTCAGATGTTATTCCCTAAATTGTGTGTGGGCTGGGTATACACTGAGCCAAACCTCACTCCTGACACCACTATTTCTCAAAAATGTCAATATTTGAAAAACACAGACATGCTATATCAATCATACAGATAGCCATCTTTCAACCGGTCAATGTGCCACACTTGAATATCTGTCTGCCTCTGCCTCAGCAGTGCTCTGACCCTTTCTCTCTCTTTATTTCTTTTTGCCACATTACAGCTCTATCATGATGCCACATTGATGAGCCTGAGCTCCATAAACATGGCAAAGATGGCTGTCATCTTCCCCTCCTGGAACTGCATTAACGGCAGTGACCTCTCCGGGTGCTGGTGACAGTCGTCTGTCAGCGCTGGTTAATTCCCAGTCTTGTGAGGGTCAAGAGCTGACATATAATGAGGCTTGACAGTGTTGGAGGGACAAGGGTCTGGTGTCAATGGCGGCCAGTAGCATCATGTCAGCAGCAGAAGGATGAGGGGTTCAATTCAAACCACGGAGGTAATCCGAGCACGGCTGCTTTATCCCAGGGCCTCAACTGCCTATTGACACACATCAGAGCATGGACGCAAAACAAATTAGCATCAGTCAATATTCTCTCCCTCCTCCTGCCTCCTGACACAGCCACCCAAGGGCTGCCATGTTTGCTTCACCTCCAGTCAAAACAATAGAGACAATAGTGATCATGATGGAAAACGCCTGCGCTGACTTCTTAAGTGATGTTTTCAGGGTTGGGGGCAGAATGTTCACAATTCTGGTCTGTGTGTTGATAGCATGCAAACTTTGGTTTGAGGGGAATTTCCTTTAGAATTGGATCTACTTCACTTAAATTGTAGGAATATTCTCTTTCTTATTTTTCATGCAGAATTTGTGGTTTAAGGGATACAAGCTGTCCAGAGGAATGAGCCTCAGCTATAGATGTCTTGTTTTTGTGTGCTAAATGTGATCATATAACTTCTGTTGCATAAAAGGTGTTGGGAAGTGATGTGGAAAAACACTTCAAATATGCTAATCAAACATATGGCACTTCTAGGGAACAAACACGGATTGCTGTTGTCGTCCTACATGATAAAAAGGTTACTTGGTTTTAAATGTAATTTGAATACGTCCGAGGGCTGCAATGGGCTGAGGCTGCTGCATTTTAAAACACACAATTTGTTTGCGTTGGGGGAAACAGACATTGTTCAGTTTTTTTTCCCATTCTTCTTCTTCTTCTTGTTCTTCTTCTTTCCCCTATCTGCAACCCCCCTCCCTCTGCTGAAAGCCATTACAGAAATACAATTTCTAATACCTCCGCACAGGTCTTCGATCGACTGCAAACAAATTTATATTCAGGCGGTAAACAGAAAGCTGCAGAGATTTATTTATTGAGTGTGGAGGAGAGAAACAAGCTAGCGCGTGAACCCTGAGTAACCTCCGAGCTGACATGAAGATGGATCAGTGCGCCCTGCAAATGCATGGAGAGAAGGGATATATTGCACTCAGTCATTCAGCACATCGCTGCCTGTAGAATCCCATTAACTCCCACAGCTGGGACCATATTTCTGTGTTGTAAGAATGCAGTTAGAAGTTGTTCATTACGCTGAATTATTTTGTAATTACTGCAGACTTAAAATAAATAGGTGATATGATATTGTTCAAATAAAACTATAAGATCAGTAACCTGTCATTGTTTAATATTTAGGTTGTTGTTAAATGCTATGGGTGGGAGTGTTGTATGGTTATCTCAGTTTGAGAAAATAACAATGATTACAATTACAATTAAATTATTTAAAAATAACTAATTAATGAATTGGCTGTATGTATTGTTTTTAATTGATTGGGACAGGAAACATTCAGAAAAAATATCTAAATAACACACATTTACTTTCAAATGGCTACGGCATTAGTGATCATTTGTATTCCAACCACATAAAAAAAAAAATGGTTAAGGTATACACATTTCTGAAAATATAAAACAAAGTCTCTTCAGTTTGAACTGAAAGCAAAACAATTTAAAAGGTTTGTGGATTAAACATTGACATGTTATATATAGCTCCATTAATTCCGTATGTTTTCAATGAATGCTTGGAGGCTCTACTACGACACATGTGTATATTGGAAAGTAGGTCACCAGATTTCCGTGAAGAAAAAACAAAAAACTTCTGCTGCTGTGGAGCTCATTGACATTTTCACTTCTGGGCTGGAGGTGACAACACTGGGCTGCTGTGTTCCTGTGTGCTGCAACACAGGCTGGTTTTATTATTTGCATGTGTTTCAGGGCAGTGCAGGTGAAGTCGTGGGCTTGGTGTATTCTTCTTGTGTATGTAGTTAGGGAGAGTTTTTTGTTGTGTTTGTTTATGTCACTCAAGTTTGAATAGCCGCATGTAGCGTTATTTGCACATACATGAAAAGTATCACACGGCGATTCAGGACTGAGTAAACACGCAATTGTATTGAGAAGAAGAAAATAAAAAGCACAGGACTAAAACAGATTCTGGGCTCTATGTTTTTAGCGCATGGACAAGCTAATCCAGCGGAGGAGCTACTTTAACCTCGATATGAACATGTCCTTTCTGTCGTTACAACATCTTGATCTCTGCTCGAAGCCATTTTGTATTTGTTCGAGGCTAATTACAAATCTGCTGCCACTGAACTTCTAAATAGCAGCTGTCACGACCTCTGAACCCATTAAGTGTGCCTTTCACATGACCTAAGCCCTTCGCTAAATAGGGCCTCGGGTTTTCAAGAAGCCTTCACACATTAGCATAATCCATTAGCTGCATCAATGTAGGCCTATATTATGCTAATCTAGTTTTGGGATCAAATAAATGTTCTTTGTTGTCTTGAAAATTTATCTCGTTCTTTGTGTGTGAAATAAACACTCCTGACGTAATGTCCTACCTGAATGCAGGTGAGAGGCCCATGAAGGCCCTAGCGTCTGCTGCTGCTGTTGGAAAACTTCCTCGCTGTTTAAGGATGTGTTGTAGTGTTAGCTATGGCCTGCCACTCTTTGTGCTCGGACACAATTAAAATGACGACCTGAAGTGAGTTTCTCAACTCGGTTTAATCAGTGTTGTCCTCTCTGATGACAGAGATGTCCGGCTATTGGCCGAGACCAGGAGGGCACGTCATCTCCATCAATCAGGGACTGCTGTTTCTCCTCTGAGGAATGTCCCCACGGTCGTCCAGCCGCCTGACCATGCGTTACTTGGATGCATGAGAGGCCGGGCATGAAGTGCAACCCCGTCCAATGATTATGCAGGGGAGAGGTGATAATGACTTCCTATCAAGAGTTAACGGCCGAAGGGAAGAGTAGCCCTCTGTTCACGGGCTGCTGCCGAGCAAAAGAGGTCATAAACCGGGACCTGAACGGCAGAACTCTCCCTGAACTCGACAGTCATGATGTGGAGGGGAAACTGGAGGTGGAAGTAGCCTCAGGATTTAATACTCCGCATCCCCGGTACTTAACTCTCTCCAACAGTTTGACTCTGTGCACCTCTTTGGACAGCCCTCCTCCTCCTCCTCCTCCTCCACCACCGTGTGAGGCTCTCGAGGGCTTCTCGACACCGGCCTGCCCCCACTCGTCCCGTGTCCCCTGGCGGTGCAGGGCGCAGGGGCAGGGCTCTGCAGGACGCGGATCATACTGCGCGTCAAATAACAACGAAACGCTACAATCCGGCTTTGGGTCACTTACTGAGACAATTCAAAGCTGCTCCCGTAATGGCCCCGAGATTCACGTCGCTATGGGGAGATCAGCTGGCTCGGACTGTAACGTAGCTCATATGGATGTAAGCAGTAAAACTTTTGAGTGGATGAGAGTGAAGAGGAGTCAGCACCGAGCGGGTACGTTTTTGTCAAGAGGAGGAATAAAGTTACTAAATGTATTCAGGATATTCATGTTTAGGATTGAGTTTATGTTTAATATTTAGCTTTGGTTAACTTCAATTCATAGTTGGGGAAAGTTTGGTCGAAGTTTTCTCTTCATGCTTTAAAAAAAAGGGAGAGAGAATGAATAGCTGACGTGTTTTGTGCGTCATCGTCCACAATTTCCTCCGTCCACAACATTGAAGGTACATTGAAAATAACTAATGTAAAACGTTTGAAGGCATATCAAAACGTTTGAGAGGCTGCACTAGCTGTTTAGTCGAGGACACATTTGAATATGCACATGAGGAGTCGGTCACTATTTCCTTAACGGTTCCATGTTAATGTGAGTCTGTTCTTTAACATTGTCGCTCCATCTGCTGTTACAAGCAGGAGTTAGACTGTGCACACAAGGAGGGAGGAGTATAGTCAAAGGCCTCCTTAGCCTCACTGTATATTCAACCCGGAAAAGGATCAATTATTTACCCTTGCCCTTACTAACCAGTAGTCTTTGAATAATGCAACAGAGCACTGCCTGTCGAGACTCACAGGAAGTTGAGTAAAACTTACTCCTGTAATCTGGAGTGCTCCCTGAGTATTGATTAGTTGTCTGTTTGTAATGAAAGCTCTTGCGTATTGATTTCAGTTTGCAGCACCTTTACATGTGTCCACCTTTTTAACATAATTGCTGTCACAGATCATCATTTCCCTGACTGATGAGTCCTGGGCACAGAGCCCACAGAAGAATACATATCCCAGGCTTAAAAATTACCAATAGCTTGCTAATGTGAAAAATGCCTATCAATCATCAATGTTATATGAGTAATAGCATCTTATATAGATCACTCAATCGATCAATAATGTCAGTTGACTGACTTGCCACTGGACCTGGGTTGGGTTTCATTCATTTTATGTGAAAAGATTTACTACAGTGGTGGTCCAGTTTTTTCTTTTCCCATTGCACATTATCTGTCTGCTGAAGGGTGCTGCTGACCCAAATGTTCAGTGACCAAAGATGCAGGCGGGTCATTAGCACTAGCCTGTTTGTGGAGAAAAGGCCATGCCTCTCTGCAATAAACAAACGCTGCAGCCAAATTCACATTAATATTTTGAATGATGTGGATTAAACGCATTGTTTTTGATAATGATTCATATTTAAGTCAGTGTGCCCAAAATGTGACCTCGCAACATTTGATGTGGCTTCATAAAACGATTTTTAGCCTTTTGATAACCCTTTCTTGCATGGTCATTTATGATGCATTCATATAACTTGTGAAAAAGGTTACAACAACACATTTCACTGGTCGAGGAGTCATTTTATTCATAAAACACATTAGCCACTCATCTGATCCAAATCCGAGCTCTTGAGAAAGCCATTTGCTAACAACCACCCACGCACACACATTTCCTCTCAGTACTGTTAGTATCTTTTTAACCTCTTTCTCTATGTCTCTGAAGGGGATCATCTGTAGGAGTAACTCATTAGAGCTACTGTGTAACTTGTAAAAGAGTCATTAGTGAAAGTATGCTTTCCTCTGAGGTTGTATTGGTTTTGGCACCAAAGAAAGTCTTGCGTATCTTTCCACATTGAAAGGCCTCCACAGACCTGCAGTAACCTGATCTCTTGGCTCAGTGTATATACTCCCAGTGCGTCATTCTTCAATTATGCTTTGACAGCACCTGAATTACTGTGGGCTGGATGCCCAGATGACTGAGGCAATGTGTATCGATCTATCCCTTTTCTTCTTCCCTCTCCTTGCCTTGGAAGGCCCTTCCATTCCCTTTGCAGCCTGGCTATTTTTAAGCATGCAAGTCATTTCTCAAATATTTAGTTTGATTCTTTTATGCCTTCTGGCGGCATCAATTCTATTATCTTTGGCGCCATTAATCAGAATGTGCATGTGATTTGCACTCCTGAAAGCTGAAGTTCTTAATTACAGTTCGTCTGTATTGGTTCTTCATATACACTGCCCTCTAATTCTCAGGCTCGGTTACCTTGACATTCATTTTCTTAAAACACAGATGTCGACATTTATCCTATAACTGACCTTTCCATCTGCTATGCTTTTCCAAGTGGCTAGAGGCCTGTTAACCTTCCTCCCTATGAATTGTGGTGGGAGACATTGCTCTACACCTGGCACACTGACTCCATTATGCAGCAGCAGCACATTTTCTCAGAGGCAAAGATACACTGGCGACTTAGCCACAATGTCAGCAATGAAAAATCAAGATATAGCTGCGGTTCCTGTCATTCATTGCACATAAGTAGCACAGATGATACTTTAATGTGTGACCCAGAAACCTCAAAGGAAAAAGTGGAGACATTTGTCATTAATGCAGTGTTTGAAAGGATTTGTAAACTGTTAAACTGTCATTGATACAGAAAGGCCTAAAGGCAAATTATTAATGATTCTGATGAATACAGTTAATGGACTGCAAACGATACAAAGTTGTTTTGACTCGACAACTTGTATCTGCAATATACAGCGACATACTTTGTCCAACTATTTGGTGATCTTGTCTTGCACCCGCTATAAAAGCAATACCTTAAGAACATAAATGTGAAGCCTTTAAAATGTTTCCAAGTCAGAGGTGTCGATTCAAATCTCAGTTAATTTATGTGATTAATGATGTGGTTGCATTATACTGTACAATTGTTTCTTCTCTGTTACAATTCCTCATATACCTGTTTGATAGCAGCAAAATATTTTGCAATGTGCCTATAGGCTTCTGCTAAAGTTGATAGCTCGGTGAAATACGACTACACAGAGAGAAATGACTTATGGGTAACACTTTAAATCAACCAACTGGCTGAGCGCCAATTCCTACAAATCAAAATCTTGGAAAATAGTTTAATGGATGTTTGAACTAATTTCTTCAATATCAAAAACACGTTTTAATATTATTTTTGTATTTTGTATTTGTATTATAACACAAATTACGAGAGCAGTATAGACATAATAAACATTTAATACAATTTCTGAGGATTTATACAAAAGTTAAAACTAACTATAAATGGCTTTGACTTAAATTACTTATATGGAATGGTTCCTGTTTCAACCCTGGAATAATTGTTCATTTTATTTCCTGGAAAAGTGCGTGTATAATTGTATTCAAAATGGTTTTGTGCTTCTTTTGTGGGTAACCTCATTGATCTTGCTGACGACTGTTTTCATGTTTTCTGTTCACAGTCAGGATGCACATGACCTGTGGGTTCAGTATCGGCTCGGTCCTCGGTGCTGTTGAGGCTGGAAGCAGCAGCATGTGCACGGATGGCCAGCCCACGGTGAACGGGGCCCCGAGGACCAGCTTCAGCACCAAGCAGCTGACCGAGCTGGAGAAGGAGTTCCACTTCAACAAGTACCTGAGTCGGGCCAGGCGGGTGGAGGTGGCCGTTGCCCTGCAGCTCAGCGAGACGCAGGTGAAAGTTTGGTTTCAGAACAGACGCATGAAGCAGAAGAAATTACAGAGAGACGGGCTGCTCTCCGACCCGGGGCCCGCGGCTGCGCATTCAAACGCCGACTTTTTGGACACCTGCCCCTCTCCTGGACCGACCCCGCCAAAACACCTGCCCCTGAACTCCTGAACCGCAGGAGCTGCACAGCGCGTCACACATGCACGGGCGCCTGCCTGCAGATGTTTTGATTCCAGTTTGCATCGGTTTCAATCAGGCTTCACCTTTATTTGCTTACCACGATGGATGCTTATCGCAAGAAGCGCAATGCCAAGTTTCTTCATGCAAGAACGGGTCAAAACAATTTGTCTTCCTCCCCCGGCTTCAGTCTGGCGCTCTGATTTGAATATTAAAATTCGAGTCCTTGCATCCTCTCTAGACAATGTAAACACGGAAACAAAATTATATTAATTGCCCATAGAAACTGTGGCAGACTATTTGTTTATTTATTTTTGGACAATTTGTCCAGGAACTGAATTTACGTATATATATGATCAACAGGACACGTTGCTCCTAGTTTTGTTTAAAATGTATATTATTTTTATTTATTTAAGGTCTTCATTTGATCATGTTTTTTTCAGTTTGCTAAGACAGGAACTATACATATTAAGTCAGTTGTACTATTTATTTCACCAGATCGCACACTGCTTTCTCAATCAATTTAAGTTGCAGCTTAATGGAGCTTTCTTTTTCCATTGCTTTGAACCTGTTGTAGAAAAATCACATCCTCAACATGTTAGACAATAATTATCATTCTAATTTAAAAGAGCTTTAATATTGTGTATTTTGACAGGTTTTAGGGTTTTCCTCCACGGAAAGATTAAAACCATAATTGACTGATAGATGTAGCCTATTGATCGCTCGTATTCGAACTATTGATCCGTGGTGATCCATCTATTCGAGGCACAATTCTGGGAGCATTTGCATGCATCTGTAACTGCATGTTAATGGGATGTAGAAACATCACGATCGGGAGTTGTTGCGTCTTTTATTACCTCTATATACATGCATCAGAAAATGATAATTTAGCCTGAACACTCATGCGGGAGAGCAGACAATAAAACGCTGTCTGTGCTGTTTTGCAGATCAACCAATAAATTGTGTTGCCCCAGCAGCTCGGGCTGCTAAATATTCCTTCCGGATTCACATCTCATCTCATATAAAGTAAATGATTGTAAACTCGGCCCTTAAACACTGTTATGTTCCCGGATCGCAATGCGTTTCTGTCATGTTAATGTCTATTCAAATATCAAGATATGAGGCCATCAGCCACATTAATTCTATATGTGGGAATATTTTTGTTTAGCTTTCAATTAGCGGTGTTTGCTCGGGATATGAACGTTAGTAGATCCACCGCGGATGTTAATGACAACAAAGGAATTAAACCGTAAACCAGCTGGGTGTCGCTTAGAAATAAAGAGCGAGAAACAAAATGAATAAATTAGACCGTTTCAACCCCCTTTTTACGTGTCCTCATTAAAATTTGGCGTGTAAAAAATATTAATAAGATAATTATTAGACAGTTGCTCCTCTGCAATGCGCAGGAGTAGACACGAAGCTAAAATATGCAGTTACACCGGAGTTCACCTCTCACCTATTGACCTTTGGCTTGCCTCGGGATAACGATGACCCGGTCAGCGGCTCGGAGAGAGAAAGATGCACCATTCATTTGGATGACCTCGAAGTCTGAGATTACTTTTTTCTTTATATATTTTTCTATTTTCCCCCCAACAAAACCCGGAACGCTTTTGTTCTGGGTGTCTGTGTCTACACGATATTTCATCCAGCTGAATAGAGGGGCGACTGGGCCATATGATAATTGTTCATATTATAATTTCATACTAGTCCACATAATGCATTATTTCTACACCTAGAGCTAACCTAATTTTTGCCCAATCTCTTATTTTAATAAGCCAAAAAATATGCTCTTGGCTCACTTTATGAACTGGAGGGAAGAGTCTTTTCACCCAATATGTTTTGGGATATAAACTACAGACCTATTTTTAATAGCAAAGTTGACAAATTAAAGTTACTTGAGCATGCTGAATACCTAATATGATTCCATGTCTCAGCCACTATAAACACGATTTAGAACAACTATAACACCCATATATATATGGGTGTTATGGGTGTCATATATTTCATGCATATCCGCTTAAATAATTTTTAAAGAATTTAGACATTAATCCTCTACAAACAATATAGCTTATAATGTTCTTCTCATTAATATTAACTGAAAGGTAGAAAGGAATACACTTAAAGGTCTGCAGAGGACATTTTGACAGTGCAAACATTTTTTGCAAGTTTTATTTGTAATTGATATGAATGATTTTACATGCTAGCCAGACGAATAATGTGTTGAGCCCAATTTATTTAGTATTTGCATAAACAAAATACACACCATTAAGGTCGCTTTACTATAAACAAAATAGCACAAAGTGGAATGTTTAACAAAACCATCAAATGTGTCCTTTTTTAATGCAAATGAGTGTGCACTTGTGAAGGTTAGTATGCTGAGGACAAGGATGATGAAACAATGTGAGGAAAAGTTTGTAGTAATGGTCCCTCATGTTCCCTTCCTACTGAGAAGTATGTTTGGTTGACCTTATTTTAAACCCTTTAATCATCTTGTGCAAATATGTTCCCTTGCCACAGGGCTTCAAGTTACAGGTTTTAATGTGTAGAGGATGCTTGCAGCAGGTGTGCAGTCAGACTTGAAAAAAAATCTTACCTTACTTAATCAGAGACTCTACTGTATAATAGATTCACTTAGAATTACACATTCATTTAAAATAGTGGAGAAAATGTGTGGAGGGAAAAAAACCGTAATCTGAGTTATAGGGTTGAGGTGAAGGTGAAAAAGAAGAGCTGATTTATTTTGGGTGAACTATCACTTTAATTTCCTTCCATGGCAGCTTCAGCATGTGCCTCTCAATTGATGAAAGGCGAACCGCATTGTTTGTTCAGACCTGACATTTAGTTCGAAAGCATTTGAGTGTGACTCTACTCTGATGAATTTGTGCTCTTCTGTAATTTCTTCCTGAAGATGTACGGTTTGTTCACGAGACTGACAGCTGTGCTTTGCTTATACGGGGCCAAACACATGGTAAATGGAAGGAAAATAAAACCAAAATAACTCAGCTGTAAATGTATTACTGCCACAGGTAGAAACAATGGTGATATTGAACAAGTTGAACACATTTCTTTCCCCTTTTATTTTTTTCCCTTCCTGCAGAAATAATGTCTTGTAATGAAATTCCTTACAAAATGTACTTTATTAAACTCCTTTAATTAATCCATAAGAAATATTTTTATAATGAAATACAATAGCTCAACATTATTTATAAAAGTGAAGTTACCTGTTAATTTGTCTTCTTCTGGTAAAACACTCTAATTGAGATATTAAATTAAATCATGGGATGGTTCATCATGAGAAGAATATTGACCATATTCGGTATTGTCTTCTATTTCAAAGGCAGCTTTTTCAAATCTCCTGAGGAGTGCTGCATGGCATGAGCAATGAGAGAACATATACGGTTTACAGAATATCTTAAACTACTTTTTCAATTAACACATATGCTGTGGGTTCCTTCTTAACTCATTGTAATTAATGCTAAGTTGACCTAACATTAACTTAATGCATAATATGCATGTAATATCCTCACCAGTGCTCAGGGGAATACAATCAATTTATCAAGTTAAGCTCTTTCTCACTCTATGTGAAGCACTTATAGATAGTTCAGTTGTTGTAATTACAGACCATTTGAATGTTCACCTCCCTTTTTAGTTTTTTCTGCTCGTCTGATTTTACTGTTTTTATTTATTTGCAAAGACTTTCATGCACTATTAGTCTTTTTGATCGAGCTCATTCACATATTTGACTACCAAACAATTTGTGCATCAAGAAAGTTGAAATGAAGTGCACCTGTTTCTATGTGAGTGTGTGTGTCACTGTGTGTGTGTGTGCCAATGCATATTTGGGTGCCCTGTGTACAATTACTCAAATATGTGTTTTGTTTCCGAGGTGCTACTAATAAAGCGTAAAAAAAAATACAAAGCAGCTATTTTAAATAATTGTTCACTCTCACGTGCATGCATGCTCACACACACACATACACACACACACACACACACACACACACACACACACACACACACACACACACACACACACACACACACACACTGAATTACAAATCCATACATAACACATTGTGACAGAGCTACACTGAACAAGCTACACACCAATCCAGTCCTTGCCTCTCCTCTCCTGCTCCACTCCAGGGAGCAGATGTTTGGGGACAGCTTACAGCCTCAGCGAATTTCTGTGTACAGAGCAAACAGCAGCACTCAGCACTTCTGGCTGCAAAGGGAAATTTGCTCTTGAAAAGGGGGGGTGGGGGGCTTTAAGTCATTGTAAGGTATTATGAGGATGGTAGGGAGAATAGAGTGAGAAGGGGTGCATGTAGAGGTGAAACTGTGTCAAGGTTGCTAGTGTGTTGCATAGGATAATTCCCTGTTTCCATAGACTGGTGCTGTGTCGTAGCAGTGTGTGAGAGCATTATGTTCTGCACACAGTATCTCCCAGTGGCATCCTGCCGCATCAGTAAAATCAACCAAGGTGGCCCTACTACATATCTGATTGTGTGGAGTCTCTGACCTCTTCCATGAAGCCCTGTTTACTCACTAGTTTGAATTGCCCTTTCAAAAGTTGCAGACAAGCAAAAAGTGAAGGGAAACAATGGGGAAGCATTGGAATGAGCCTTAACAGAGTTTGCTGATACTGCATCGGAGACATCAGCCATAACCTAGGACCAGCGATGCTAATGATGCCATTAATATGATCCACTGATTTAATGGCACCAGTATTGTGCCATTAAATCATTTATGTTAAATTAAATGTTTAATTTAAAACATTTTATAATTTGTTTTAAATTTATAAAAAAAAGAATTCTGTCTGTCAAAATGTTCGTTGTGTTACTCAAATATCATGAAACATAAGCATATTAAAAGACTTAAATAAATACATGTTTTTGATTCCTTTTTGCTTCCAATATGTTTACATTGCAGCTTTACCACGTGTGCTCGGAAACATGCTGCAGTCTCATGAATGGGTTAAAACAAACGCTCATGTCCAAACATGTGCAAGTACACACATTTTGACCTCTCATCAGTGTATTATAATCCCTAAACAAACCATCATAAATGAGCCCAGCGATGCTTATTTGTCTGAACGACGTCTACACCCTCCTCCTCTGCCCCTGGGGTGAGGTTGCCATAGTGACAGATTCATAGACATATGGAGAGAGAGGAGAGGGAAAGCCGAGTTGAAGGGGCGGGGCTGCAGGGGTGAGGTAGAGGGGGGACAGAGGAGAAGGGGATGGGTTACAGTTTGAGGACGTTGGCGCTCTGTCTTTCAGATGTGTCTTTCTGTTTCATCTGTCAATCAGCCATCCGTGTCAGTCTGCGCTCAGTGAGCGAACAGTTCATGAACTTTTCTCAATCAAGTCTCTGTCAGGCGCCATCTTGTCTATATTTCATCAGAGAAAGGATTGATTCTCATGCCAGCTTCACAGTTTTAAAAACACAATATGTGCAGTGGTGCCATATAGGCAAATAGTTCAGTGGAAAAGTGTATTAATAAATTGATTTGGAAGGCTGTGTTCATATTTTGCAATCTCTGGCCATTTTGTGTTTACACTGATGAACGATAAACACACATACAGATGTTTTTGCTACTCACTAATTAAATTCAGATGATGTAATCAACCTTTCAGCCAACCTGAGGACAGCTTGACAATGGACCGGGAGAAAAGGAGAGAGGGAAAGGAAGAGATGTGAGAGAAAGGGAGGGGGGTAGCAATGAAGCAGCCATCAGGCTGGCCTCGCTGCTATAAAAACACATTTTTTTCATCAGCCATTTTATGCAAAAGGAGTAGACCAGGTGCTCAATCAAACCTCACGCCTACTGTTTTATTTTTCATCTTCACCCCTCCCAATGCTCCTCTGCACAAACCTTCTGTGTGTCTTCCCTCGCTCTGTTTCTTCTACTGCTCTTCCCTCTCTGCATGTCATTCGTCTTCCCTCCTGCCGCTGCTCTCCAACTGATATGAGAGAGTGACCCTTGGGCCCTCGGGGGTCAAGTGATACAAGGTCATTGGCGGGTCATCACTGCTGACTGGCTGACCTCTAAAAGGACTTCTGGAAGGAGCCAATCAGGTCTTGTTCCTTCCCCCCTTAGCCGGATCCCCCTCCCCAACTCATCAGCAGCCTGTGTCACATGACCAGGGCGAGGCATCAGAGGGAGGATGATTAATGATGCTTTTAGTACCTGTTTAGAATGAAGCTGTCCACACCGCACTGTAATTACCTACTCCCAGGCGGCAGCTGCCCAACATAATTGCTTTTTGTTTGTTGACCTGGTTTATTGAGGAGAAAGATGGTCTTGGCAAGGCAAAGATGGTACTATGTACTGTACACAGAGGTGAGAGGTGATGCATGTATGTTAAAAATGTGGTTGACAGTGTGTGTTTCAAATCAATGTGAGCTACAAAACTGTGAGCAGGAAGGTGTGTTTAGAGGAGATACAAGTGACAAGACGCAAATGTGCTTTGGGCACTGTGCAAAAAATCCATGTAAAGGATTCAAGAGTTGTGGTATGCAGCTAACAAATGGCAGTCAGGAAGCTGTAAGACATGCAACCCTCCCACCTAAGGTCAAATACAGCCACAGACCTCTTGTGCAAGGGTACAGCTTACCACTGGAATACACAAGTATTCAACATGCATAACAGTTAAGGAGGGGTGTACCCTGTCATGCATAATTGATGTCAGTATCTTCAAAGCATATTGCTGTGTTGCTCTGAAAATTCAAAACAAAGTTCAGAAGGTCAATGGAATACTGCACCTGAATCCCCCCCCCCCCCCCCCCCCCCCCCCCTTTTTTTGGCTACAGGCCTAAGGCAAATATGAACATTTCAGTACCTGCGGCGCATGCCACGGGGACAGTGACAATGAAACCCAGATAAACAGCCCCTCGTTTGACCTATGGAGAGCATAAATTTACCGCCCATAAATCCTTGGGTGTTTCAGCTCCGTTTGGCGCATTTGCTGTGCTTCTCCAGCCAAACAGAGAGAGGCAAGTGTCGAGTATCAGTGCTGCTGTATGAGCAGCTTTCATCCTGCCCCTGGTTCTCACATAACTCAGTCCTGCAGCCTTTATCACCGCCTCATAAATAACTAGGCTATCGCCTGATAATGTCCGCTTAATGCTTAGTCAATAAAGCCCACAGTAAGAGGGGCCTTTTTTAGCCTCTCTCCTGTACATAAATATAAACAGTGCAGTAGATTGATGTGATGGGCAGGCTCTTTCTGCACTGGGACAAAAAGAGGCAGCGTGTGGGCCTGAGAGCTGAAGGTGGGCTGTGGGGCTGCAGGTGTTTAGAGGAGATAGTGGGCTGTAATGAGGGGGCTGCAAGAGAAGGGCTGAGTGGATAGCCTTGACTGATCACCTGTGAAAGGCACATACACACATATACACACAAATGATAGCACACAGACAGAAGCACATGCGCACGTAGGGACACTCATTCACACACACACACACACACACACTAATGCCATCATTAGTTAACCCATTGGTGCCGAGGCCTGCTGCACAAAAGCTCATCCTCCCTATTTGAAGGGCATTAGAGCATTATGATAAAGACACTCCCAAATGAACTGCTTCTGTATGTTGTTAACGCCTCTTCTTAATCCTTTGACACATTTGCAAAACCAACCTTATGATGCCACCACAGAATGATATCCAGGGATGTAAGTTTCATTGTTTTGTGCACATTGTAGAGACAGTTATCGACCATTCACACTAGTCATCAGCCCATCCAATTCCAGTGTGGCGCCACGGGCAGCTGTAGTCTGTGTGATGGCTGGAATGGGATCAGACTGAGCCCTGGGGAGACAGGAGAGACTGACAGGGATGTTGCCGGGTTGAACGAGGGGCCTGATTGTGATCCATGAGTTAGTCAGCGCAGCAGCACCTGGGCTTGGAGCAGCAGCTGGGAGAGATGGGCAGGACGACACAGAGTTGGTTCAAAATGAGAGGGATGAGCCAATCAGCTTATATTGACACACATGGTGACGTGCAGTGGGTGCTTTGGATGTTGTATGAGTGTTTACTCTGCACACATTTAGTCAGGCCAGATTTAGCCCCAAGAACAGGCAATTCACCAAATAGGACAGACATTCCTAATAATTGATATTCCTTTACATGTTTTGTGTG